CAACTTGTCTGTTCCCCTTCCCCCAATTCCCCAGCACTGTTCCCATCCCCCCAATTCCCCAATAAAAATCTTTAAAAAAAAAAAAGAATTAACACCAATCTTTCACAAACTCTTCCCAAAAATAGAAGATAAGGAAACACTGTCCATCTCATTCTACTCTGATACCCAAACCAGACAAAGACAACGTAGAAAAACTACAGACCAATATGCCTTATGATTATAGATACCATAATACTCAACAAATACTAACAAACTGAACCCCACAACATATAAAAAGGATCATACATCAGATCAAATAGGATCCGGAATGCAAGTGTGGCTCAACTTACATGAAAATCAATTAATGTAATACACCATATTCATAGAATAAAGGACAAAACCCACTTGATCATATCAATAAACATAGAAAAAGCATTTAACAAAGTCCAACATCCCCTCATGATAAAAACATTCAACGAACTAGGAATAGAAGGGAACAGGTAGCAGTTAATATATTCCAGATGCACTGTTTTAATCACTTTCACTCATTAAATAATTTAATTCTCATACCAATTCTATGAGCAAGAACCATTCTTACCTACATTTTGCAAATGAGTAAAGTGAGGCACAAAGCATTTAAGTGATGTTTCCTGTTAAAAAGCTATTAAGTTGTGGAGCTAGGATTCCAGTGCAGAAATTCTGGGTACAGAGTTCATGCTTTTAATCACCGTCAGCTATGCTATCTCTCAAATAATGTGGAATAATAATAATGATAAACATATTTGGTTTCCTAAAAACTAATCGCTTGATCTTCATCTGTAAGTAAACTTAATTCATAACACTGCAAATTTATATCAGTGACCATAATTTATAATATAGATAAGAATTTTTAATATTAGTACCAATGTTATTTAAAAAGTTGCTAATGTTGGGTCAATATTAATACTTAATTGTAATTTAACTCATAAAGCTGGTGATGATTATTTATATAAGTAAACATAATTTGTAACATTGTTAAAAAAATTTAAATTAGTAGTAAAATTTGATGGCATTAGTAATGGTGATTCCATTTCTATTTGTAACTAAAATTTGATTCATAACTGTGGTACTCATAATTTATATTAGTAATCATAACTTTAATATTAGTAATCATTATAATTACAATTGGAATGTTAACCATATTAATAACGATTTCTATTAGTAACTATAAGATAATTCATAACATACTTACCCATAATTAATATTAGTAATATTAATTTGTAACATTGGCAATAATTTCTAACAATGTTTTACAATGTCTTACTAATAGTTTAATTTCTTTTAGTAATTATAACTTAATTCACAACACAGGTACTAATCACTTATATTGATAATCTTGATTTGTTAACACTGGTAATAAATAGTAACGTTAGTTATACTATTGATGATATTAGTAATGATAATACAATTTCTATTATTAAGTATAATATAATTCAAAACAGGGACTTATAATTTATATTAATTTATAATTTGTAATAGTGATAATAATTTGTAATAATAGTTATAATCTTTGATGATACTAGTAATGTTTATTCAATTTCTATTGGGAACTATATTGAATTCATAACATTGTTACTTATAATTTATATCAATAACAAAAATTTGCAGTATTGGTGATAATTTGTAATATTAGTGATTATATTTTATGATACAATAATGTTGGGCTGTCGGAAAAGTCATGACACATTTTTGCAATGAAAAACATAGAAAAAATACATCATGACTTTTCAGACAACCCAATAGTAACCTACAATTTAATTGCTATTTGTAAGCAATTTAATTTATAACATTGTTCTTGATAATATTGCCAATCCTAATTTGAGACAGTGGTAACATTTCTATCAAGAGAAATATTTGATAATGTTAGTGACAATGATTTGATTTCTATATGTAATATAATATGATTCATTATATTAGTTCTGCTAATTTACATTAGAAATATATACTGTATATAATAGGATTAATGATTTAAATCACACTTGTAATCACATAAGTAAATTCATGGTATTAATAAGCCCTTCCCAAAGCAACTTCACCCTCTGCAAGCACATGCCAGCTGTACTCTCTGATTGTATACCATTGGCAACACATCCATTGGCAATACTATTGCAGCAGGCATGACACTTTTCCCTTCTGCCCACTCTACTTCCCCCAGACTCACCATCTCTTTGTGATTGGGATAGAAGGTCTGATCGATTAGAGGGAATTCCTCTGTCCCCAGTTTCTTGTGCAGCCGAACCATCTGGGCAAACTATAAGAGCCAGGAGAGAGTAAAGGTTAGCAAGTCCTTCACCTAGAGGGAGTCTCCAAACCGGGACTCCAAGCTTCCAAATTTCCTCAGTTCCCCAGAATCACAGTGATTTGGAGCTCCCACATGCATGCATGAGATATTCCCTCTGCCAGTAGCATCCTTCCTGTCACTTACCACCCAGGGCTTGTCACAGAAGTTGTAGACAGAATGCAAAGAGTTAACGCTGGGGATTCCGGCATACTGCAGCCCAATGACCAAACTGCGGTAGTCTCCATTCCGTGCCATGCTGAAGGCATGCTGACGAATCAGCACAAAGTCTGGCTTCAGAGACCTGGGGTTCAGGGGTAAGAGTGTTGAAGGTCCCCCTAGAAACTTCCCACCACCCTTTGAACAAAGACCAAGTTTCTAAATCTCCACGGATCCTAGAAATTAAAAAGTGGTTTTTCACTTCAGCACATACGCACAAGCTGGTCCCCCCCCCCCTTGCCACAAGCACCCTTTCTACCCTTTCCCCTGCTGGTGACCCCTACCCCCTTAAGCCTTTCCTATCTGCTCCTCTCCTCAACAAGGTCAGATTGCAGCTTATCTAGTCAGCTCTCTCAGACTACTAGCTGTCCTCAAAGGATGCTGCCCAGAAGAAATTCCAGCCTTGGGGCCTCTACAGGGGCTGTTCCTTCTGCCTGAAACATTCCCCCCGAGATATCTGAATGTAGCTCTACTCAAATGTCTCTTACGCTACAGGTCTACCTTATCCCAATTGCAGACCCCTCTACCAGCCAAAATCCCTACATCCCTTTGCTGCTATGTATTTTTTTTTAGCACTTTTGCATTCTTTTATTTATTCTATTGTATGTATCCCATGGTAGAATGGTAAGTTTCATGAGGACAGAGGGCTTTGTGGGTTTTTTTTGTCTTTTGGGGGGTTTGTTTTGTTCACTGCCAGGTTCTCAGCATGTAGAACAGCTCCTGGAGTATACACGCTCGCTCAACAAATGTTTGTTGAATGTAAAATGCTGAGAGCAGCACCTGGCATACAGTAGATGTTCAAGAAATGTTTGTTGAATTAATAACTGAAAAGTTTGGCTCGTGGTCTGCTGGGATCCTTTTCTTCAGAAGAGAAACTATCTTCCACATTCTGTACCTAAATTCTTTTTCTTAAATTGAAATATATTTGACAGATAACATTGTGTAAGTTTAAGGTGTGCGACATGTTCATTTGATACATTTATATATTGTAATGTGACTGCCATTGTAGCATTAGTTAGCATTATCTATCATGTCATATAAGTATCATTTCTTTTTTGTGGCAGGAATAGTTGAGATCTAGCCTCTAAGCAAGTTTGATCATTATGATACAATATTATTATCTATATTCACTATACTGTGCATTAGATCTCCAGGATTATTTATCTTCCATTTATGTGCCCTTAAACACATCTCTCCTATTCTTCTAACCCCCAGGCCCTGGTAACCACCATTCTACTCTCTGTTTTTATGAGTTTGGCTTTTTAAAGATTTCACATATAAGTGACATCGTGCAGTATTTGTCTTTCTCTGTTTAATTTATCTCACTTAACATAGTGTCCTCAAGGTCTACCGTGTTGTCGCAAATGGCAGGATTTCCTTCTCTCTCATGGCTGAAAAACATTCCATTGTAATGTGCCTAAGTTCTTGCTCACAGAAGGATGGGTGAGGAGGTGGGGAGTCTCCCTCAACTCTAAGGGAGTCCTTGTGCCTCTCTCATAACACCACGTTACCCTTTTTATACTCACCGCACAACCTTCACTCCATTCCGAAGAACTTCCATGTCCACAGAGAATCCACCATTGGCATGAGCCACGAGGTTGAGATCAGAGAATTCAGCCTGGAAAGGAAAAACATCGGTGATTCACTCACATCACACAAAAATGACCACTCAGTTTGCAATGTGGACAGTTGACCCCCAAGTCCACCTGCCCCAACTAACCTGTTCTACTTTAATGTCAATTTCTCCATGGATCTTTTTCCCTTTGAAGTATTTCGCCCTGGAGAGGAAAAGCAGAGCGCATCCATCAATGCTCAAATCTCAGGAAGACAGAACCCAGGCCAGCCCTTTGACCACTTTGCCCCTGCAGTGCCACTAGAGAAACCATAAAGTGATTTATGATTGTTGAAATACTTTGAAAAACTCAAACAGTACTTTGTGAGTAATAAAGAACCAATAAAGTAATCCTTGTGGAGGTGTGTAAATGTCAAAGGCCATTGCACGCTTTAAAATAAGTCCTTAAACCCCAGAGAGCAGGCATTTCCCAAAGTATCATAATGTTCTTGGAAAGCTTTGGAAAATGAGGGATGCTTTGTAAACTGTAACATACTTTGAAATTGCATGAAGGTTTGTAAATGTCAAAGAACCTTACAGAATACATGTGTATGAAGTGTGTCTGGGTATGTCTCAGTGCCTGTGTCTGCTTGTGTGGCCTGAAGCATCTCTCTGCTCTCTGGCCCTTTCCCAAGGAGGAGCACATTTGCCATGTGAGGTTTTGTGCTGCGAGGAACACAACAGCCATGGGTGGGCATGGGTATCAGAAAAAGACGAGCAGATTAAGGGGCGCAGGCTGGTGGTGGTTCCACAGAGGCCAGAGCCAGCAATAATGGGAGTGGGGAGGAATGCAATTGAGGAGGGGGGGAAGCCATAGGAAGGAGAGGAGTAGGGGCAACAGTGGGCACATCACTAACTGCTATGTCACTGTCCCTGGGCCCATCCCCAGCAGGACCAGGTTTCCAGTGGCATCTTCCGCCAGGCCAAGGATTCCTATCTGACAGGTTTCCTCACAGACAGAAGTTCATCTCCAATCAGTTTTCTCATAGAAGGGGATGAGGGGAGAAGCCACTCCTGGGGTCACCTTCATGCACACAATCAGGGTCTCTGACACACACACACACACAGAGCACAAAGGGGCCCTACTGACTTGACTGATATACCCAAAAGACCTCAAGCACAGTTATTTCCTTCTCTTTCTCTTCCTCTCTCTCTCTCTCTCTCTCTCTCTCTCTCTCTCTCTCTCTCTCACACACACACACACACACACTCCATTACTGACTCTGACCCCTCACAAGTGTTGGAAGATAATCTTTCTTATGACTGTGCATTTTTTTCATTTATAAAATGAAGATGAGGACCGGCTGAGTGGCGTGTTGGTTAAGAGCTGGCTTGGGACGCTAGCTCTGAGCAGCAGGGCTCCGGTTTGGATCCCACATGAGGGCCAGTGACGCTGCACGCTTTACAGCTAAGATGGTGAACAACAGCTTGACTTGGAGCTGGGCTGCTGTGAGTCACCGGCGACAGTGTAGGCTGCAGTGGGGATGCAGTGGGCTGCCGTAAGCTACCGTGAGTGGCTGTCCAAAGGCCTGCGACTGACTTGCCTCAGCTGGGAAGAGCGCAATGATCACAATACCAACATGGGCCAGTGAAGCGACATCCTCCACAACTAAACTGAAGAACAAAAGGACAGCAACTTGTCTATTCCCCTTCCCTGATTCCACAATGCTGTTCCCTCCCCCAAATTCCCCAGTAAAATCTTTTAAAAAAATGAAGATGAATGTAGATTGTATCACAATTTTTCAAACTTTTTTGACCATACGTGTAGTGGGTACTGTGGTGCTCTGTTCAGATCTCCTCTCTGGGGCCAATGCACCCTGAATATCAGCTGTTGACAGCTCACAGCTGTGTCCCACTGGGAATTGTCTTACGTCACAGGGAACTGCCTTGGCCAAGGTTACATGTACTTTGGGCAGCCCATGGCTTCTATCTGGTCTGAGTGAGTACAAAGGCCAGCCTCTTTGCCTCAATATAGGCTGATTCTGAAGGACCATCCCAGCCCCAGAGATACCCCTAGGAACAACTGAGGCCTCTGATGCAACCGCATCACGGACCAGCTTCTGCCCAACCCTGCCCTCCTTACAGGTGTTGATACCAAAGACACTCCCCGATAAGCCTCCTACATGCAACTCCATTTCAAAACTGTTTTTAGAGAACCCAACCTAAAACAGTGGTCTGGAGAAGTCAAACTACAAAGAAGACCCTAATGCCATTCTAGATCTGAGTCGCCCAGCAGCAGCAGACAAGCAGAGGAGCCATCATTTGTTGGGGGGTGGGGCACAGATAGCCCCTGACATGCTGTAGCGACACAACGTGCTCTGTAGCAGATCTGGGCTGTGATGCAAGCAGAATGCCACTTGAACCATAAGATCTGGCAGAGTCCATGACACTGGAGGTGTCAGTAGTGGGAAAAGATGCAGTGTGGAGTTTATTCTCCCAAGTGGGAAAATTACAGTGCTGGCCCCTGCGGTTTTGGAGCAGCAGTAACTTTTACTGATGGTGGACTGTAATGAGATACTGGTGGAGAGGAATGCAGTAGCAGGTAAAATATCCCTGGTACTTGAAAGGTGTGAGGGAAATGGTAACCAGGCTTGGGTGAGTATTCAATAAACACCATTGATTAGCTGAAGAAAGATCTGATATGCTCAGGGTGAATCATCACCAACTCAAAGAAAAATTTAAAAGCCAGAGGACCTCCTTGGATGCATTTAAGGAAACTCCAAGCTTCTACAACCAGAGGGTAGTCAGAGGGGAGGAACAGGCTTAGGACTTAATTGTAAATGTAGTAGAACTTCAGAGAAGGTTGAATTCTCACACCCAGCACATCTCCTATGCCATACTCAGGGCCGTAATAGGACAGGATTAGGGCCCTGAGACTTAGAATGGGGATATATGGGAAGATGCATGTAACACCTTGAACTTACAGGTTCACCTACAGAAGTAGCCCACTCCTCCTTGTTAGAATATAGACCTTCTCTCTGCTTAAAGATAATGCAGATGCCTCGAATGAAGCAGGTGACTTATCAAACAATGCTTGCCCCTGTGAGAAGAATCTACCCTCTTCCCCACCTCATCTTATTCCCCAATAACCAGGGTCAAATCCTTGCACAACATGACTGGAGAGGCTGTAAGCTTGCAAAGGAAGGAAAGGAACAATACACAGAACCTGAAGAGTCTGGCTAATGTGTTTTGGCAGGAGCTGGGAAAGTATGCATAAGACTGGATCCTGAGGATGATGAATCAAGGGGGTGGAACATGAAGTTGGAGCCCTCTCCCAGGACACAAAACTTAAAGCCCTGGAAATGACTCTAGGAGATGTTACTGATACACTGCTGGGTGGCTTATGGAAACTTGGAGAAAACAATGGCTCACACCAAGTGAAGCAGAAATGCCATAACTTCCATGGTAGACTATGGAGAAAAGGATAAAAGGGCCAGAGAAGCAGAAATGTTAGAGTAGATATTCTACTAAAGTCTGGAAAACCCACCAGTTGACTATGTTCTATGGGAGGGCCCAGAGGATATACCCAACTTACAAAATCAATAAAAAACTTGCTGGTGAGAGTGGCACCAGCCATGTTGAAGAGTGCAGTGGTAGTAGGTAATAAGTGAATTCCTGGCCCAGGTTCTGCTCACAGTGGTTGCATTGCATCCACAGATCCATCTGGTGGTCACTTCCCCAGTTCACAAATGCCTAATTGGAATGGATATATCTGTAGTTGTCAGAACCCTGACATGGGTTATTTGGTCTGTGGGTAAGAAATATTGTAGTAGGGAAGTCCAAATGGATGCCTCTGAAATTACACCCCCCTTTTCCGATCCAAACAGGGAATCAAAGACAATATTGTATCTATTCTAGGGGTGATGGTGGAAATTAGTGCCACTCAAAGATCTAAAGGAGGTAGCAGTGTTAGTCCCATCATATCTCCAATGAATTAACTAGTTTGACCCCTGAGGAGGCTGGATGGATCCTGGAGAATGTTTGTAGACTACTGCAAACTCAACCAAGTAGTAGCCCTGACTGCAGCTACTGTACTGGACATGCTGTCATTGCTAGAACAGATTAAGAAGCCCTCAGGCACAGCAGGTGGCCACTGAGTTAGTGAATGCATTCATTTCCATTCTGATCAGAAAAGAGGATCAGAAATGTTTTACACTCACAGAAGGATTGACAATGGTATTCATTGATGGTCTTGCCGAAGGGCTATGTTATCTTTATTACCCTGTGTCATCATATAGTCCAAAGGGACCTGGACCATCTGGGCATCCCACAGAAAATCACATTGTATTACTATATTGATTGCATCATATTGATTTGGCAAGATAAGCAAGAGATGGTTAGTACATTGCCTTGATAAGACACATGCACTCCAGAGGGTGCGAGATAAAACCTACAAAGACTCAGGGGCCTGCCACATTAGTAAAATTTTTAGGGATTCAGTGGTCCAAGGCATGCCAGGATAGCGGTCCAAATAATAGGGCAATGCATTGCATCTTGCACCTACCACAATGAGGAAAAAGAACACCACCTGGTATGCCTCTTCAGGTCCTGAAGGCAGCATATTACACATCTGGAAATACTACTCTGACCCATATTGCAGGTGACATGTAAGACTGCCAGCCCTGAGTGGGAGTCAGAACAGAAAAGGGCTCTGCAGCAGGTCCAGGCTGCGGTGCAAGCAGTCCTGCCACTGCCACTCAGGCCATAGGATCCGGCAGATCCTGTGATAGTGGAGGTGTCAATAGTGGGAAAAGATGCAGTGTGGAGCTTATGGGAAGCTCAAGTGGGACGTCCCTGGGGCTCTGGAGCAAGGCCATGCCATCTGCAGTAGAGAATTACATGCCTTTTGAGAAACAAATTCTGGTGCAGTACTGGGCCCTGATAGAGACAGAATGCTTGACTGTGGGGTACCGAGTAACTGTCCATCTAGAAGTGCCCATTACAAACTCGGTTGTGCCATGCCTGCCAAGTAATAAAGTCACATAGGTCCAGCAGCTAGAATTGGGACCAAGTAGAACCAACCAAGCTGCCTGAACAGGTAACCCAGATGCCCATGTCATCCAAACTGTTGCGCTAATGCCTCCCTTAGCTCACTAAGGGGACTCCTTACAACCAGCAGATGAAGGGAGAAAATGCCTAAGCTTGCTTCACAAATGGGTTGTCTTG